TACCCTTCCAGGAACCCAGGTCAGTGTGGCTGGAAGTGTGGGGATGGGGCAGGGATACTGGGCCAGACAGTCAGTCCTTCCAGGGACCTGGGGGCAGGAGTAACTGCAGCCATGGTGAAGGAGTTTTAGTTAGAAGCAGAAGACGTGCACAGGGTTGAGCTTCGGAGCTGTGGAGCTTTGTAGATGCCTGGAGGGAGCTTTGTAGATGGATGTCGGGGGAGCAGCAAGGAGGCTATGGAGGGGCCCTCACAGGGCACCGCGGCCAGGGAGAACGGCGGGGAGAGAAGGCGTTTTGCAAGGTGTGGAGATGTCCCCGTGGACCAGCACGCAGCCGTCGCTGGTGGAGGTGAGCATGAGGAGGAAGGGCATGTTCTCCTGGGCACACCTGCACCTGTGTCTACCTTCTGCTTTTTACTTATGTCATTCCAGTTCTCGAAGCTTTCCCAGTTTTTGTGCACTTGATTTGGAATTTTTCAAGAAATATGTGTTAAAAAATCTTCCATGATGATTGTGGATTTGCCAGTTTCTCTTGTATTTTTGTTGCTTTTTGATTAACATATTTAGAAGGCAATTATTTATATAACAATTACCAGATGCCAGCCACTGTCCTCAGTACTTTCCAAATATGAACTCATTTAATCAATATGAAATACGCTAATCATAGGAGATTAGTTCAGAAAATTATACAGCCAAGACTGTGAGAAAATATAATAAAAGTTTATTGATTAACAAGGAAAATTGTTCACGATATATTATGAAATGAAAAAGGCAAGTTAGCACGCAGTTTATATACATTGATTGCTTTTCTTGTGTGATGGAAAGAAATGTTATCTGTGCATAAGAAATAGGTCTGGAAGCATGCATTACCAGAATGATGACATGGATTGTGTTTGGGAGATAGAATTACGGGCAATCATAATTGTCTTGTTTATACTTATGTGCATTTTCTGGCTTTGATAGTGAGGATCTATTAGTTTGATAATTAAAAAAAATAAAATAAATCATTTGACAAGACTCCTGTTATTCAAAATATGAACTTAAGAAATTGCAGATAAAGGGACTGAAAATCCTCTCTGTCCCCCACCTGTGTTTTGTGACAAGAG